TCCTATCTAAGCTTTTTTTAAAAAACAGGTGTAAATTGTTTTCCTGGCCCACTGATGGATCATGTTCACAGTTCACAGCAGACCTCCCGGGCTTCCAGGGAGGGGCCCTGCCCTGGGCACTCTCTGGTTTTTTCTGGGCATCCAGAATTTGGTCACCAGTTTATACTCAAGGGGCTCACAGCCCAGCCAGGCAGACAGACTCCCAGTGCAGCATAAGGAAGGGGCTGTTCAGAGTCTCAAAGGCGGCTGTGGGAGTCACTGCTCTTCTCTAAGGGGGTTCAGGAAAACAGCACAGAGGAGGGGGTGTTAGAGATGGGGCTTTGTGGCCGAAGAAGAGTTCAATAGTTGAAGCTGGGGAGGGCACTGCAGACAGAATGAGAGCCTTGGGATGTGGAAGGAAATAGCAAATCAGGTTTGGAGGAGCCTGGTTGTTTGGGAATGAGAGGGCCCCTCTAAGGTGAGCAGGAGAGCCCTAAAAGAGGCCTTTGGAAGGGTCAAGACCAGGAATGGAAAGAGAACGTGTATTGGGGGGAGTGTGTGAGGTAGGAGATGGCAGATCACAATGGTGGTTTGGGGCCTGGCCACTGGTGACAGAGATGGGAGGGGAAGCCAGAGCAGATTGTGGAGGGAGGGAGATGTTTGCCAGGTGAAACGTGTAGAGGGTGACGGCGAGGCATGCAGAGCCAGGCCCCCTTCCTGGCCACCTCTAGTTTGCCCGAGTGCCTCATGAGTGCCCCCAGAGCTGTGATGAGAAGGAGAAGCATGCCGGGAGGTTGCGGCTATCCCCTGCCACGTGGACTCAGTGCAGGACCGGGAGGGGTGCAGAGGTGAAGAGCTGCTTCTAGATACAGGGAACGGCAAGGCACGTGACCTTGGGCAGAGCACTTCCCCTTGAGAACCTCCAGTGCCTTAGCTGGGAAGTGGGGCCTTGCCAGGCTTGTTCATTATCTCCCTCTCCCGTCACGGTTTGGAGGACTGCTTTATATTGTTGAGGTACAGAACATACAGAGGGGGGTGTTCGATGGATGCAAACGCCCAAACAACCCCCATTCCTAGATTAAGATATAATCCCAGCACTCCAGAAGGTTCCACTGGGCGCTCCCACACACATTAGCCACTGCCCTGCTGTCCGTCCCTATAGTCTATTTCATCTTTGATACCCAAAATTCCCTTTCCACCTCCACTCGAGACCAGGGTCTCCGCTAAGACTCTCTGGCATTAGGGAACCTTAAATTCACTGAATTCATCCTCTTTCTTCTCACGTGGAACCACTCATCTCCAAAGTCACGTACTTTGCCCAAGGTCACACAGGGGAAGACAGAGCCAGATTCAAACCTTCATCTCCAGGCCTTGATTCCTCTCAGCTCCACCATGTCTTCTTTGTATAAGTTAGACATAGAATTCAGGCTCTGGGAGACTGGATAAGCACACGGTCTCGCCCAGCACTGAGGTTTCTGATGGTGGGTATTTAAATGAGAGGTGGGAGTGAGGAGCTGGAGCCCCAGGTACAGATGACCCGGCCAGCTTCCCTCCTCCCCCCCTGGCCCTCCCACCCAGCGCTTATCTGCTGCAGAGGAGGCCGGAGTTTATCAAAGCTACACTCAATTATGCTGCACATCTGTCTCCGCAGCTCAGGGGGACCTGGCACTAAAGCAGCCAAGGCCAAGCAATCGATCACCGCCTGCCGGCCATCCTCCCTCTGGACCCTCAGCTCCCAGGGGCTGGGCAGGGCATGAGGAGGGGAGGGAGAGACTCTGTCTTCACCAACTGCCTCCTCCATCCCAATACCAGATGGGTCTCAATGCCAGGGAGGAGGGGGAGGGCCAGAGGGGACCAAGGCTCTTAGTTGAACAGGAGTTGTGGGAATCCATTTCATTCCTGCTTAATCCTGATTTGCTTCCTGGAAGAAGTAGGGCAGAGCCAGCCCTTCCAAAGAGAATGGCTTGTGTTTGGAGTGGGCACCTGCCCCTGCTTCCCTGCTGTGGGCTCCAGGATGCTCTTTCCCCCAGCCTGCATCCACTGCCCAGACAGGAAGCTGGCAGAGGCCTGGTGTGCAGCAGCTGGCTCTGTCACTGTGGTTCTAAGCCTACCCCCCTCTCACATAAAAACATTGTTCAGGGAAGAACTCTAGACAAGAGAAGAGGTGGGTGGCACTAGACAAGTCAAGACTGGGGTCTTAGCCTGTAATCTAAGCTACTCATGCAGCTGAGAGCTAAGGATCAAGGTTCAATTCCAGCCTGGGTAGACAAAGCCATGAAATCTTATCTCCAAAAAGGCAGAAGTGGAGGTTTGGCTCAAATAGTAGTGCCAGCATTGAGTTGAGCACCAAGCAAGAGTCTGATGCCCTGAGTTCAGGTCCCAGTACTGGTAAATGGAAAGAAGAAAAACAGGAAGGGAAGGAGGGAGGGAGAGTGGGAGGGAAGGAGGGAGGGAAGGGAGTTTGATGGGTCCAATAGGTGGCAGGCAGGTTAGATTTGCTAAAGACCCTTATCCATTCCTAAAAAGATTTGGCTAAGCCAGCCTGGCACTCTGCCCCTGTATTGGTCCACAGTGACTGGGTTGGTAGGGCAGGTTACAGAGTTTAAGACCCTGGGTTTGAATCTTCTCCTCACCACATAGAAGCTGTACCACCTCTGACAGATCCTGTTGTGTCCCAGGAAAAAAAATGAAATTAGGAGCCAGTAGCTCACATCTGTAATATAATCCTAGCTACTCAGGAAGCTGAGATCTGAGCCCAGGCAAAAAAGCCCATGATGCTCTTATTTCCAATTAACGACCAAAAAGCCAGAAGTAGAGCTGTGGCTCAAGTGGAAGAGCACTCAGGAACAGTGCCCAGACCCTGAGTTCAAGGACTGGCATCAAAAAAAGAAAGAGAGAGAAGGAAGGAAAAGGAAGGAAGGATAGATGGATTAAAGAATCTCCTCATTGCCCTCACACAAGGGTGCTGGGAGGCTTCACTATCATGTGCTTGTGTTCTGCACGTTTTACCATTAGTTTTCACTCACAAGCTCTCTCACTCTGCACACGCACTCCTATACTCGGTGCTCTGGGGATGTGTAAGACAAGGCCTCTTGCTGCAAGGAGCTTGCAGTCCATTTGGGAACATTGTACACGTGGTCGTCTGAACTCCTGATCACTTGGGAGATGAGAGATACTATAAAAGACAACTCCCTGTCTCTGCAGCAACCCACAAGTGTGGAGGAGGGGGGACAACAGCGGCACAAGTGTGCCGTGTGCAAGTCAGCCTTAACTGGTGGTGCTAGGTGAGTGGGCAGCTTTGAGCTCCCTCCTGGGAGACACTGTGTGCTTTGGCATTGAGCCTGGACTCATCTGGGCCTTCACCCTGCTTGGAGCCCAAAGCTCAGTGTGAACCTGAGTCCTTAGCTGCTGCCTCTGGGTCCTAGAGCCCAGCCCTCAGCCTCTGGCCCAGGAGCTGTGGGCTTGCTGTGCCTACCCAGCCAAGCCAGAGCAAGCCAAGGGCCGTGACTTGAAAGGCACAGAGGTTTGCATAGGAGTGTGTGTGTAATAACCAGTAAAAACTCAGGGTAAACACATGCATACGTGCATGTATGCCTGCATGCATCGTGTGCATGGAAGGCTTGAGAACTCCTCAAGCCATCAAATGGGGGCCAGGGACAAGGGAAGGCATTGTGGGTGAAGAGGAAGCAGAGAACAAGCCAAGTCCTAGAGGGGGCCCCTCAGGAGCCAGATTGGAGGCTAGTGGTCCCCCATCTTATATACCAGAGGACTCTGCTGCTCTCCTAGGCCCAACTGTGATTGAAAAATCCACCAGGAATCAGATTTCCACTCAGGAGTCAAACCAGGCCTGAGGAGAGAACACGGGGTCTTGGGTTCTAGGTCAAGGCTGGACCCACCTCCAGGACAGCACAGCCTGGTCATGGGGCCTGAGAAAGCAGCTGGGTTGGTGACTCCTAAAGAGGGAGGAAAGTGCAGCGGCTTGAGTTCAGATTAGGGAGAGCTCCTGGAAGAAAGGCCCATGGAACCTCACCCTACAATACACACCACATGCCTGCCAGCACCTCAGCATGCTGGTGCTCCAGCTGGAGAGCGCTCTCCCACTCCCTGTGACAGAGGAAGTGTGGCTGTGTGGGAGCCAGAGCCAAGCCCTGAAGCCGCAAGGGAGGAGGAGGGCCTGAACTCGAGTCTTGAAGAACAAGTAGGAATTGTCTGGGCAACAATGAAGGACAGCCAGTCAGCCCAACAGATCCACACCCGATAGGTGTGTGAGGGAGGGTAGAGACAAAAGCAAGAAGTAGCCAGGCCAGATTACAGAATGTCTTACCTGTCCAGCTGAGAATCTGGACCCAGGGCTCTGAACCCTACGGCTGCCTTTTCTAGGCAGCACAGACAGACAGTTGGAAAAGGAAAGCCCATGCTTTCCTTTGCCAAAACCCAAAGTGATTGGCTAGGAGGAAAGTCCAGCAGGTCCCAGTGGGACCTGCTGCCTCAGCCTGGGTGGATGTGGGGGTCAGGACCCAATATCCCTCACCTCCAGAATCTCAGCGAGTCCAGCCTGTATTTTAGAAACTGCTCTTATTCCCACCTACATCACCGGAAGGATGTTCACAAGCTATCACTTATCTTTCATTTTCCCACACAGGGACAGAGGAAAGAGCAGGAAAGGTCAGAGAATCTATCCTGCATCTCTCTGGGCTCAGGACTGTGAAGATGATGATAATTCCAGCCTGTTCACTCTCTTTCCCTCCCAAACACACACCGTTCCCTCCCAGGGCTCTTCTGGGAAAATTCACTTGTTCTCTGAGCAAGTTTTAGAAAAGGACTCTTAGCCCTAAGGACTACAAAACAGAGCCCAGGAGGCCTGGGTCAGGCCCAAGCCAACCCCTCTGTGGCTCCTCTGGCTTCTTGAGTTGCCCAGAGGAGGGAATGTGGCAGGAGGGAGATTAGAACCTGCTTCCTGGCTGTCTCCCTAACTCTGTCTCTTCCTTCCAGGGCTGTCCTGGTGAACCGTGGTGATGAAGGAGCAGGGCCAGCCCATTGTACAAGGATGAAGAGCCACACCCAGGAGGGCATAAAGCGATGCCCACCCATTCCCAAGTAGAATGAGCACCCTGGGAAGGAGGATGCCCAGGCACCACCAGGGCTGCTGACCCTCAGCCTGCAGACCACGAAGAGCAGAAGGACCCTGGCCTCTCAATTGTGAAGGGTCCCCTTCCCCCGCAGCTCCACCATGAGGCTCCTCGCGGCCCCCCTCTTGCTAGCTTGGGTGGCTGGTGCCACCGCTGCCGTGCCTGTGGTGCCCTGGCGTGTGCCCTGCCCACCCCAGTGCGCCTGCCAGATCCGGCCCTGGTACACACCCCGCTCATCCTACAGAGAGGCCACCACCGTGGACTGCAATGACCTCTTCCTGACAGCCGTGCCCCCGGCACTACCCGAGGGGACGCAGACTCTGCTCCTGCAGAGTAACAGCATCGTCCGTGTGGACCAGAGCGAGCTGGCCTACCTGCCCAACCTCACAGAACTGGACTTGTCTCAGAACAGCTTCTCCGATGCCCGTGACTGTGACTTCCGGGCCCTCCCCCAGCTGCTGAGCCTGCACCTGGAGGAGAACCAGCTGAGCCGGCTGGAGGACCACAGCTTTGCCGGCCTGGCCAGTCTACAGGAACTCTATCTCAACCACAACCAGCTCTACCGCATCGCCCCCCGGGCCTTTGCAGGCCTCGGCAACCTGCTACGGCTGCACCTCAACTCCAACCTGCTGAGGGCCATTGACAGCCGCTGGTTCGAGATGCTGCCCAACTTGGAGATCCTTATGATTGGTGGCAACAAGGTGGATGCCATCCTAGATATGAACTTCCGGCCCCTGGCCAACCTGCGCAGCCTGGTGCTAGCGGGCATGAGCCTGCGGGAGATCTCTGACTACGCCCTGGAGGGGCTGCAAACCCTGGAAAGCCTCTCCTTCTATGACAACCAGCTGGCCAGAGTGCCCAGGCGTGCCCTGGAGCAGGTGCCCGGACTCAAGTTCCTAGACTTGAACAAGAACCCGCTACAGCGGGTGGGGCCGGGAGACTTTGCCAACATGCTTCACCTCAAGGAGTTGGGGCTCAACAACATGGAGGAGCTGGTCTCTATTGACAAGTTTGCCCTGGTGAACCTGCCCGAGCTGACCAAACTGGACATCACCAACAACCCCCGGCTGTCCTTCATCCACCCCCAAGCCTTCCATCACCTGCCCCAGATGGAGACGCTCATGCTCAACAACAACGCCCTCACTGCCTTGCACCAGCAGACGGTGGAGGCCCTGCCCAACCTGCAGGAGGTGGGGCTCCACAGCAACCCCATCCGCTGCGACTGTGTCATCCGCTGGGCCAACGCCACGGGCACCCGCATCCGCTTCATCGAGCCACAGTCCACCCTGTGTGCCGAACCCCCAGATCTCCAGCGTCGCCCCGTGCGGGAGGTGCCCTTCCGGGAGATGACGGGCGACTGCCTGCCCCTCATCTCCCCCCGCAGCTTCCCCTCCCGCCTCCAGGTGGCCAGTGGGGGGAGCACGGCCCTCCACTGCCGAGCACTGGCTGAGCCCGAACCCGAGATCTACTGGGTCACTCCAGCTGGGGTTCGACTGACACCTGCCCACGTAAGCAGGAGGTACCGGGTGTACCCCGAGGGGACCCTGGAGCTGCGGAGGGTGACTGCGGAGGAGGCAGGGCTGTACACCTGTGTCGCCCACAACCTGGTAGGGGCTGACTCTAAGACGGTCACTGTGGCGGTGGGCCATGCTTCCTTCCAGCCAGCCAGGGACGAGGACCAGGGACTGCAGCTCCGAGTACAGGAGACTCATCCCTATCACATCCTGCTGGCTTGGGTCCCTCCACCCAACGTAGTGTCCACCAACCTCACCTGGTCGAGCGCCTCTTCCCCCCGGGGCCGGGGAGCCGCTGCTCTGGCTCGCCTGCCCCAAGGCGTCCGCAGCTACAACATGACCCGCCTCCTTCAGGCCACAGAGTACTGGGCCTGCCTGCAAGTGGCCTTTGCCGATGCCCACACCCAGTTGGCCTGCGTGTGGGCCAGGACTAAAGAGGCCTCACCTTGCCACCGAGCCCCAGGGGGCCGGCCCGGGCTCATAGCCATGCTAGCTCTCGCCATCCTGCTGGCGGCTGGGCTCGCCGCCCGCCTCGGCGCAGGCCAGCCCAGGCAGAGAGTAGGTGGGCGGCCCCTCCTTCCAGCCTGGGCTTTCTGGGGCTGGAGTACCCCCTCAGTCCGAGTGGTGTCTGCTCCCCTTGTCCTGCTGTGGAACCCAGGGAGGCGGCCGTCCAGATCCTCAGAAGGGGAAAGGCTATCACCCCCACTCGAGCACTCCTGAAACGTGGCCATTACTCAGCGACAGAGAAAGAACGAGGATAACTTTTTGGTTTTGTACCAAAAGGGAAGTGATGACCTGAGCCAGGTACCCTGCCAGGAAAGTGGATGGACCCACGCACTTAAGGCCTGGCAGCTGGACCATGACACACGGGGCTTGGCACTTCAGGGGTACACCTGCGGCCTCCTGAAAGTGGCTCTTACATTCTGTGGGTCCTCTGCTGGCATTGTGAGGAATCTCCAAGGAACAGGAAGGACTCTGGCCAGAGCCTCCCCCCTCCCCATCTATCTCTGTGCCCAGGGGCTGCTGGGCCTCTGCTTGGTTGTCCCCTGCCTGTGTCCCCCGGCCTTTGGCCTGCAGGATGCACACCCCCCTCCTCTTCCCTTTCTTTGTACAGTCTCAGTTGCTTGCTCATTCCCCTCCTGGGCAAGGGCTGAAAAGAGGCCTCTCCTTCCCATCTTTGGGGGTCCCAACCCCAAAGTGGAAGTGACCTACAGCTGGATCTGATGGACATTTGGGGAGAGGGTGCCCAGGAATGCCTCATCCCCCAGCCTGGGATCTCGGAAGCAGACTTTCTATAAGGCAATTTTGTACCTTTGTGGAGAAATGTGTCACCTGCCCCCAACCCAATTCACTCTTTTCTCCTGTTTTGTAAAAAATAAAAATAAACAATAATAATACAACAATGATAAAGAGGGGGGGAAGGAAACAAAAGGAAAAAGAGTCCTTTACATACCAGGTGTCAGGGGAGACCACTGGCTTTGGGATTCCTTCAAAGCCTGGAAGAGGCAGGAGGTGTAGGCGCTGGGCAGGGGCTGAGAGGGAGAAGAGGGGGACCACTGAACAGCATTCACTTTTTGCGTTGAATTTTGGCCTCTGGATCTGCTCCAACCCCCACAGCTGTGAGCAGCAGAACTGGGGGAAGAGAGACAAAGAGCAAGAGAGGCTGAGAAGCCGCCAAGAAGGAAGGAGAAAGGAGAATGTAGGAGGCCAGGAGAGGAGTTGGAGAGAAAAATGGAGACAAACGCAGAGATAGAGAGGGCAAGGAAATTTCCACTGCCAAGCACGGTTCCCCTTCTCCTGCTCTGATAAGCAATTAACATGCCAGTACATAGGAAGCCCTTCTCGGCCTATTTCTAATTAAACCAACCCAAGAGGCAGAGTCATGCAGAGAATTGTAAATCAAGACAGCAAGAACTTTGGCTCCCTGGGGGTGGGGAGGAGAGGAGCTGGGTGAAGACTTGAGGAGGGGGAGGGCTATGGGATTGGGAAATTGCTGCACTTATCTTTCCATTCTAGCTTGGTATCATTTTCAATGAGCCTGGTTTGCTTTGGTGATTTTCTTGCCTTTCTAATGGATTGACTTCTGCAGACCAAATGTGAAGAAGAGCCTCTGTTGAAAAGCCCATAGAGCCCAGAGCAAAGGGGCCTCTGGATTGTTTCTGAGAAAGAAGCTGGCTAAAGGAATAGATTTCCTGAGACTAGCAAAAGCCACACATGACCAGTCCCTCCCCAATCCCCCGTGTTTCAGAATGCACATAGAAAATTTGTTGGAAGCAGATCCAAAGCCTCAATCAAGAGTTCAAATGTTCACACAGGTGGATGTCAGGAAAAAGACCCCAGGCATCAGGCCCCATGGACACTAAATGAGAGGGCAGGATCCTGCAGGACCCTCTGACCCTTAGCAAGCCTGATTTTATCATTCTCATCATTGTGTGTGAGAGACAGAGAGACAGAGTCAGAGACAGAGACAAAGAGAGCTATCCTGGGACTTGAACTCAGGGCCTGGGCACTGTCCTTAGCTTTTTTGCTCAAGGCTAGCACTCTACCACTTGAGCCACAGCTACACTTCCAGCTTTTGGTGGGTTGATTGGAAATAAGTCTCACAGGCCAGGCACTGGTAGCCCACATCTGTAATCCTAGCTACTCAAGAGGCTGAGATCTGAAGATAACAGTTCCAATCCAGCCCCAGCAGGAAAAATCCATGAGACTCTTATCTCCAGTTAACTACCAGAAAACCAGAAGTGGAGCTGTGGCTCAACTGTGGTAGAGTGCTAGCCTTGAGTGAAATAGCTAGGGGACAGTGCCCAGGTCCTGAGCCCCAGTACTGGCACAAAAAAGAAAGAGAAGTCACAGACCTTTCTGCTGAAACTGGCTCCAAAACTTGATCCTCACATCTCAGCCTCCGGTGCCCAGATAAGCCTGTGTTTAGAAGCCTCCTTCCTCCTGGACAGAAGTTCTGCAGAAGCAGAACTTAAAACACACGAGGACACGTGGCCCTAGACTTTCTAATCTGTGAGAGCTAGACTGTGCCAGAGAATTTGCACTTCTCCCATGGTTTTAGGTGAGGGTACTAGGCCTGGGCTCCAGCAGCAGCTGGGGCTTTTTGCAAGCCTTGACTTTCTTGTAGACAGCAGAAGAGAAGAAAGAGTTGCTGCAGAGTGGTTCCTCTACTTCTCCCCTCAAGCCTCCATTTCAATGTCTCCCACAGTCCCAAGGCCTGCAGGTCCTTTGAAGCCACTCTTTCCCAGCGGTATGTGGTCCCCATTCCCCCATGCGTGGCTGCTTCTCTAGCTGTCGTGCAACTCAGCTATTCGGTGCATAAAAATGAATCTTTCTGGATGCCTGTGGCTGACCCCTGTAATCTTAGCTACATAGGAGGCTGAGATCTGACGATCAAGGTTTGAAACCAGCCCAGGTAGAAAAGTCCATGAGGCTCTCATCTCCATTTAACCAGCAAAAAGCCAGAAATGGTGGTGTGGCTCAAGTGGTAGAGCAGCAGCCTTGAGCAAAAAAAGCCAAGTGAGAGTGTGAGGTTCTGAGTTTAAGCTCCAATAACACACACACACACACAGAATATCTTCTAGAGGAAGAAAGTTTTATAAGGATTTACACCGCCTCCCAAGCTGGTTGGCTCCTGGGTAGGTGAAGCGGGAGAGGAAAGCCGCTAGTGCCCTCTTTTCTGGAATGAGAAATGATGTAGAAACAGCCACTGGGAAGAGGGAAGAAAAGGTTATTTTGTGGGCTGCTGGGTCCTGGCATCCCTAGAAATTGAGCAAATTCAAGGAGTGAGTAGCCTCTCTCCAATACAGAACTAGACACCAGGCCCACCAGGAAGGGGGGGAGTGGGCCCTGTCCACACCGCATATTGGCTTCCAGTCAACACAGCCAAAGGGGACATTTGGTGCCTCAGATTTCACACTGCACTGCGCATGTGTGCAACTAACCTACCACGTTTGCAACCAAGTATGACTAAGCTGGGTTTCTTCAGTACATTTAAGATTGCTGCTTTTCCCTTAAATCCTAAATAGAAAATAATATTTATTTCTGCTTGAATCTTAATCTGCTACTTAGGGCCTATCAACTTCCATCTGTTGAGGTGATTTCAAAGCCAGCCCAATTGTTAAGCCTATCCATTTTCCCTCTCTACTGCGTGTCTCTGGAAAATTCCATCCTGCCCTTTGATGTCCTTATCCACAGCTGCGATGGTGAAGCAGACCTGAGCTAGGACACAGTTCTGTGGCTCATGACTGCAGCCTTCCCTCCAACCTGATGTTGGCCCATTTATCAACACGTCTGGCTGCTCAGCCAGCTACAAACCACCTAAATAGACTTCCCCGCAGCCCACACTGATGCATTTCATCTGCAGGGCCCGTCCAGGAAGACTTTGTGGGAGGCTGGGCTAAAAATGTAGAGTGACTTTGTAGCATTCCTGGGGATGTTCAGTCTGTCACTGTATCACAGAAGTAGATGAGACCGGCTGGGACATTCCCAGACGTGTGTGTGCGTGCCTTTCCTGGAGCTTGACCTCAGTCAGGGCCTAGGCACTGTGTCTTAGCTTCAAGCTCAAGGCTGGTGCTGTACCACTTGAGCCATAGCTCTACTCCTGGCTTTTTGATGGTTCACTGGGGATAAGACCCCCACAGAGTTTCCTGGCCAAACGAGCTTGAAACTGTGATTCTCAGATCTCAGCCTCCTCCTGGGTAGGTAGAATCACAGGCCTGGGCCACCAGTGGCAACACTAAACACTTACTATGTAGCTATCATGCTAGCCCATATGGCAAGGGCTGATTTCCCATGTACCATCTCATTTCCTTCACTACCACTTAGGCTATGTCGCCTACTCCAATCTCCATCTTATGCATGTAGATGTTAGCAGTCAGAAAGGTTAAATGATGTCTCCACGGTCCTGCAGCCAGTAGGTGTATGGGCCAAGATTTAAATACTGTCTGATTCTAAAAGCTCTGTCTTTACCACCCAGCTCTAATTCATATGCTTTAAAAGTATGTCAAAAATTTGCGTTTTTCTTTTCAAGAACATGAGAACTTCTGAAATCTGTATGCCTCAGAGAGCTCCCTGGGCAGTGACTTATATTTTTAGATACTGTCCTCTCAAAAAAGAAAAGAAAAAAAAAACCACAGGATAATTTGTGACTTTATGGTGAGGGCTTCAGTTTTTCTAACCTCTTGAGTGGTATTATCTTGAGAATCACAGCGATGCTTCTTTCCTCTGAAGTTCCGAGACCTGAACTCTCACCTTCTCATTCCCTGCATTCTCCCAACTCTAAAAATCTCATCTGAAGCTTCTGATCACTCCCTCACCAGGAAGAGTTTTTTTTTTTTTTTTTTTTTTACTGGTCAGAATCAAGCCCCGAACAACACTGCCCAGGGGCTTCTTTTAGTTCTGAGATCAGATGTGAGAAGCAGGCCCCTGAGCCAGGTCATGCCCCGGCACGTCTACTTGCTATATGCTCCACCTCAGTGCTTCGTTTGGCTTCCACATCTCTTTGTGGCATCCATTGAAAAATGACGTCCACATGGCTTTCTTGCAGCCCTGCATCACTCCTGTTCCTCAGCTCCCTCCTGAGCCCCTCCCCTTCGCTCTCAGCAGGCTCTGCTTCTGCTCCTCGCTGATCCCATGTTCACCCAAACCCACGCTCCTCTCCACTCCCTTTTCTACCATCCCCAGCCAAAGAGCTGAGGAATTTCCAATCCTTACCATTCCCACCCCACCCCCGCAGCACTGTTAAACCCCAAAAAGAGCCCTGGTTGTTCTGGCTTTTGATGTTAATCGTAGAGGCTCATGCCTATAATCCTAGCTCAGGAGGCTGAGATCTGAGGATTGTAGTTCGAAGCCAGCCCTGGCAAGAAAGCTCATGGGACTCCTATCTCTAATTAACCACCAGAAAACTGGAAGTGGCGCTGTGGCTCAAAGGTGTAGAGCACTAGCCTTGAGCACAAAAACTCAGTGACAGGTCCTGAGTTCAAGCTTTATGACTGACAGAAGAAGAAGAAAAAAAGATCAAGACAAAATGTGGTCTGTTGTGGTATATGACTCTTTGCTCATTATATCTGCCTTCTCATTTGCCCTTAATAAGAGTTCATTGAGTTAGGCAGTACAGATATTATTATCATTTCCATTTTACGGAAAGGAGACTGAGCCTTGGAAAAGTTATATAACTTACCCAAGTTGACACAATGGATAAGAACAGAGCTAGAATTTGAACCCAAGTCTTCTCATTCCAAATTCCCATATTCTTTTCATTTAGCATTCTGTCCATATCATAAAGATCCAGTCTGTGGTACTCTGCCCGAGAATGTGTGATGCTAGGCGAAAATGACCAGTGGGCACAATGGTAAGGAGCTTGTACTAATGAGGATTACGGGA